CTGAGATTTCAGAACAACTCTGTGGGGAAACGTGTGTCGGCTTAGGAAGCTGCCTTGGCTCAGGAAGCTCTGTAGATGCTTAGGTGGTGGCTTGGGGTGGTTTTGGTTTTAATCTGAAGTCCAGAAATGTAAGATTATGGTTCTCACACTAGTTTTAATAATCCGCTTTATGGTTATGTAGTTCTGTATATTACACATTTTATAGATTAATCTTTTTTTGTCTTTCTATAATGTCCAAGAGAGGCATGAGTGATGCCTGTTGAAGGAATTACAAGTGTGCGTGTGTATATTTTTAAATCTCAAGAACATGAATTTCAAGTGTCAGCTGTGATGTTATACTTGCAGACTCTTGGGACTTTATAATTCTTTCTGTTTATTCTCTGAAACAGTAAATGGACAGTAATTAATTTATTTCAAGAATTAACATTAAGAGTGGAAATTCATATTTCAGCATGTTGTCGCAATCCCTGGAGGTGATTGAAACTTTAATTATTAAGCAATGTCTCTGAAACGTACTTACTGAGTTTGATGCTTAAGGAAAGCTTAGGCAGGTGTCAAAACATTTGAGAGAGCTAGACAGTTAGAGAAATGGATTATAGAAGATTGAATAGTCAACTAACTGGACTTGTATATTACTAGGTGGTCAGTATTTCATGTGCTGCCCCAGGCTGGTGTATGGCATTGCAGACAATGATGTAATTGCCATTAATCATTGTGTGGAATAACATGCCCTACAAACGAGTGATTTATGTTTTCAGATGTTCAGGTTTTTTTAGGTTTTTATAAGGCAAAGTATCTTCACAGAAGACTAAATATTTAGAAATTTTTTTTTTTTTGCATTTTCTTCAGGAGCATTCAAAACATAGATTTACCAAACTTCTAAACTTCTTAGCACAAAGATAAAGTTTTAAGCCGACTTTATTTTATTTTACTTTATTTTTTCTGTAAGACTGAGTTCATAACACTTATTAAATAGGAAGTCGTGTTGGGGTGATGCAGCATCAGTGGAGTAGTGTGTAGTGGAGAGAATGTGCTGCTACAAAAGTAAACAAGGTGTACATTGCTCAGGCTCCCTGGTAACTTTGAGGTCAAATACAACTCGCCTGTCCTTCTGTGTAGTATATTCTTCTGTTATGCCAACAAGTGTCTTAGTCTAATCACTGCTTTATTTTCTGAGTGTACAGTGTTTATATTGGTACAGCTGTGGATCCCTTTGCTGGCAGTTGTGCTGGGTTGATGCAATATATGATTTACAGTTAAATTGTTCCTTAGCAACTAAAACAGTTTTCCCCAATGAGACAAAGAAGAAAATCTAATAAAATCACTTTAGAGCGCTCTGTGTGTATGTGGTCTTAAGATAAAACACTGCAGATCTTTGCAGGAATTTTTGAATTCAATTATGCTTGCGTAGATGACAGGTTTGCTTTTTCAAGGGTTTCTTTTACTTACATGCTTAGCCAGCAGAGAGTGGCTTAAAGATTCTTCTGTTGTATAAATTATTACAATTGTACGTGAGAATAAATATAGGAACACTATTAAAGTGGTTATAAGCCATATTGGGATATATAGTGTCTGTGTGTAAAACTAATTAAATGTTGATTTGCATCCCCCCCATTATGATGATGGTTATGGAGAAGTCCCATCCTAGACTGGGAAAACTAGAAATTAAGGTAGTCAAAAGAACTATCATTCTAGTTCTTAGAAAACTGTCAGCCTCTTTTTGCTAAGCTGTTGGTAACTAATGATTTTATCAATTTTTTTTTCTCTCATATGCCTTTTTGTGGTCTTACGCAGCATTTATGAATTCTGTATTAACTGTTGCTTAAAGTGGTTACTGAGGGATGTGGAAAAAGGTGAAATAGTTCAAAATAATTAAAATTAAACATTAAAGGTACCCTTATTGTGCAGAAAGCTAAACTTTATTGGCAGATGCTAAAAATATATTACTCTTAAAGGCAGAATGACGAATAAGAGTAGAAATGAGATTACTCAAAAGCTTACTGCACAAAACCAATGAATTTCTGACTTAATAGCAAATAGGAATACAGACACTCATTTTTAAGGTTGAGAGATGATCTGAACTGGCTGCAAGTTATTGGTGATTGTTATTACATTATTAAACTCCTTTACTATCCTCCTCCCCCCCTTTTTAACTCTGTAGTGTTCTACGTTTCTCTTTTTATATGACTTTTAGAGTGCAGGTTCCTTACCATATGTTTTAATTTTTACTGTTGCACATGGTGGAACTGATTGTTTGTACCTTGCAAGTAAATGCTTTGCATTCTTGTCTAAAGTTTCATTTAAATATAAATCTGAGTTGCTTTGTATTAGTGATTCTTACTTCCCTTGTCTCTTATAATTTGGCTTTTGTATTATGTTTCGTATCATGAATATGAAATATATGGAAAAATCTGTTTGCTATGGGACCTCTTTAAAATGCTCGTTTATTGTTGTAAATAAAGGCTTTGTCATAATTTGCCTATACTTGTTTCAAAAGTGGTCAGGTCGAGAGAGCTGGGAGGAGGGAAGCTGGCCAAAGGAATTGCAATGTGGAGCTGGTATATTGAATTAATATTAGCCCTTCTCCTGAAACTGTTAGCTCTATGGTGGGTTTTAGCTCATTTAAAATAATCTAGAGTCTGAAATGAATTTTGAGTTTTTCCTCTCAATGGGATGTTGTGCCTCTTTCATCTAATCAAACCAGAGGCCGCAATGTGTAAAACACTTCAATTTTTTTTTTTTAACCATATAGTTATTTTTAAATACCTATTAACAGAAATCTGAATGTTTTCTCTATCAAAATCAAATTATCCAACAAATTTTAAATTTCAGACATCTGATTTTTTTTTTTCTTCTTTTACTTTTGTTAGTGTCAAATCAATAGTGCCTTGACCTCATTTAATACTGCTTTGGAACTTGCAACAGACCAAAGGGAGATTCAACATGTCTGCTTATATGAAATAGGTAAGTTGGATATGTTTATGCTATAAATAGCTGACTTTCAAATTTAGACTAGCAAATTCAACAAACAAACAGGGTTACTTTTATTAGGATTTTAAAAAAGGTTTTAGAATATTGGACTTTGTCTTGGATGGATTATGGTAATAACTCTGTCTTCTCGTTTGGGCAAGTAGAATTCAATTTTTCATAATTTTAAAGTTTTCTGCAAATACAAGGTGATGCAAAATCAGTGAGTAGACTACAGAATTGAGGGCAAACTGTTTGCCTACAAAATATTATTTAAAATGAGTAATCTGATTTGTCTGTGGAATCACCACTTCTGTGCCAAAAACTAATTGGTCTAGTGAAGCTTCACAGTTTCCAGGACCTATATTTCATGTTCATTTCCTTCTATCAATAGCGATATATACTATATGTTCTTAATTTGCATACAAGTCTTTAGAGTGGAGAAGATATGTTGCTTCACGCTTTAAATGTGTCTCGTTAAGGGATCTTGTCACAGTGGGGAAGAGTAAGGGAGCCAGTGGTAGCTTTGTAAGCTTCAGCATCCTACAAAATACTGTATTTAAATAAAAAAAAGAGCTTTTGGTGTCTGTATAGATTTGTTGTTGCTCTGTTTGTATGGAATCTTACAATTCAGCATTTCCCAGTAAATTTAAACCAGGCTTTAAATGTATGTCATTGATTTGTTTTAACTTTTCCAATTAACTTGGAAGTTAATTGGAAGTTAAAAGTTAAAGTTTTAACTTTTAACAATTATTGTTATAATTGTTAAACTAGCTCTAGCTCTCATAACAGACCGTGTGTTTCAGTAGTGTTGACACCAAATTTGAATTACTGTGCTTTCTCTGAAGTTAAATTAGTCTTGCTTTTAGGTTGGTGCAGCATGATAGAGATGAATTTCAAAGATGCATTTGAATCCTTTGAGAGGCTTAAAAATGAATCCAGGTGGTCCCAGTGCTACTATGCTTATTTAACAGCAGGTGAGTATATTCAATATGTTGGATAAGTGATAAATCAATAATAAGGTTTTGGCACTGTTTTGTTTTCAGAAACTTACTAGTGCACATAGTGCCTTCCACACTGCCTGCTGCTTTTGCAGCTTGATGCCAGATTTGATGGACATAATCTTGTTTGTTTATATAATGTGCACTTGCATGCACACCCATGTACATGCGTGTACGTTCTCTCTCTCTCTCCTCCCCTTCTCCCCCCCATTGTCAGTATAGTGACAGGTCATATAACAGTGTATTGCAAAGATTTAATAAATAAATCCTTAGAGGTTGGGTGGTATTAGTTCCTTTAATGGGTATGAAAAAGAAGTACTGACTTGTTAATGATCACAGAGGGTACCTGGGGGAGTTGGGATTTGCATGTTTGTCAAATCCCCAGTCTGGATCCTTTCTGGAAGTGAGTGTGTGTTTTCCTGTGACTGTACGATATCTAATCTTAATTTTTCCTGTTTCGTATCCCAGTAGAACTAACACATTTTTGTTTCTATGTTCTTACAGTGTGTCAAGGAGCCACTGGTGATGTCAGTGGTGCTCAGAATGTGTTCAAGGAAGTTCAGAAGCTTTTCAAAAGAAAAAACAATCAGATTGAACAATTTTCAGTGAAAAAGGTTTGGTTTAGCATAGGCTGACTTATTTCAGTACAGTAATTACACTTGGTAATTTTGTTGGATTCTTTACCAGTATTTATTTTTGCAGGATGTATCTGTTTTCTGCTGTGTTGCTTCTGTAGAATTAATGGGAAGGATTCAGGTGGAAAAACAATGGTGTCATGTATTTTAAGGAGCTAGCAAAGGGAAATGTGAATTAGCTATTCACTTTACAACTAAAGTAATTATTAAAGATAAAAATACATGATACTGTAGTTGCTTTGGTAATTTTCCTTCTAGCTTTGCCTTTCTTACTCCTTTTTATCTTGTCTTGTTTGTCAAAGCCTTAGTTCTTTTTGAAAGCTAGGAGTTGTCTAGGAAATGTGTCCCAACTGATGATCTTGCAGATGTTACCATTTCAGCATCCAGTCAGTGTGTACTACCATAAAACAAATCAGGCTACGTAGAAGGAAGCTTTAATTTTGATCAGTATGTAAGCCCTTAAATTAATTGAAAGATTTTGTTTTTTAGTCTTAAAGTCTTTAAGCTAAGTTACCACCAACTTTATTTTCATAAAATTGCTGGATGCTTTCATGAAACAGTTAGAATTACTGTTTGTGATATATTGTTCCTGAATATTATGTTCCCTGTAAAAGGACAGATAACAGATCTCCCTTCCCTATTTCTCCCCACTTTGCAGGCAGATAGATTTAGAAAACAAGTGCCGACCAAAGAGCTCTGTGTCCTGGCATCCATTGAAGTATTGTACTTATGGAAAGCCCTTCCAAACTGTTCCCTCTCAAACTTACAGCATATGAGCCAAGGTATAATACGGTTCCTTGATTTATTTATTCACTTTTTTAAATGAGGTGTATAATTTTCTTCTGTTGTGTGGAGTAGCTGATTGTTGTAGCTTGAAAATTTAAACCTGTGTGCATGTGTCACAGCAAAACAGTTGGAGTAACAGCAGAATAATGACCCGTTAAGATTCAGCTTAATGCTTCATTTTTACCATTTTTATAGGTTTTTGGGAGACGTTTAGCTGCCTGCTGCATATAGTTGTTTTTTAATTAGTTGTGTTTGCCCGTTGTTTAAAATGAAACAATAGTGTGATGGTTATTGTTCAAAGTCACTAAGCAAAATTTAACTCATTTAAACCTAGCTACAAAATAAAAAAAATAAAACTACCAATTCATCTCTGTATGTCAGTTTTCTTCTGAGAGGAAATATGTAGCTTGTGAGGTCATGTATGGCATAAGGGTTCTGTTTATCTTGGTTGCTGGGACCATTTTAGTGGTGAAAGGAGCATTTTATGGTTGCCTCTTTCTTAGTCTCCAGATGTCTTTGGATGTCTGTCACATGAAGCTTATGGTAGCAGTGTTAATCATGAAGTTTTCAGTACTCCTCCCTCCATCCAGCCATCAGTCTTGTTTGCATTCTGCAAGCAGTTTCAAGTTATTACCAGCTCATTTAGAAAATAAAACAAAAAATGCCTGCCACCAAGATACTTCCTTTTTTCTGTAATTGTGAAATTTTGGGGATTGCACACGACTTTTATGTTAAGCTAGAAAACTACCAGTCTTTAAATTGAGAGTCAGGACTAGTTGTGGGGTTTTGTTCTGTTTTTAATTTAAGATAATTTGTCCATTTAAATTGCGTGATGGCAGTGGGTTACATTCAGATCCCTAGTTTTCTAGTCCCAAATATAATGGTGAATGAATCTAATCTTTAAAATTAGATTTACTTATGTAAAAATAAATTTCCAGACTTTTTTGTCTGTCATTTGCCTTTGGAACAATCAGCTTTAGTGGTTGTAAAGAGTATGTACTCCTCTCCTGCACGCTCAGAAGCAATGTAGATCTTCTTTCTATAAGCTTCTAGCCAGTGGTTCACATTTTAATATGAAATAGCAGTATCAATTAAAATTCGGAGATTTGCTTCTTCTAAGTATGATGCTGACAGATGTGTCTGCATCAGCGATCCCTGGTTGAAGATTTTCTGCACAATGAGGGTGCTATTGCTGCGCCTTATGCGTATCTCAAGAATGATGAGATGATAGGGGAATTTTTTTTTTTATTTGCTTCCTCTTCTCTTGAACAATTGGAGTGTAATTTGCTGGGGCGAGTTTCCAGGCTTTTCCTCAGGGCTAGAAGTTGACTTAAAAATAAAGGAATAAACTTGTATCCACATGTATCTCTTAAGTAAAATGCCAAGTAACATGAGACTTGCAACACAAGAGAGAGTTGACAGCCTTGTGTATTGAGTAATGTCCAAATACTTCATGCAGCCAACTCTTAGTTATTCATAGGTGGCTTATTTGGGTTGTGCATGAACTGTGTTGTGAATGCAGAGCTAGTTAAGATCTGGCAGGGCTTGAGATGAGGCAGAATGTGAAGTTGAAGGAGCTCTACTGCTCCAGGCACAGCAGTTCAGCTCCTTCTGCAGGGATGAAAAGCCCTGCAGGCCTCCCTGCACCCCAGGCTTTCTGGAGGCGATGGTGCAGAAAAGTGCAAATGGCTCCTCATGGAACTGGTCTTGATTTAACAGAGCTGGTGCTAATAAGCTTGATCAAAATGGAGCCTGATTCATCTAGAGATGGTTACATGCATCATGATTCAGTTCTTTCTGGAAACAGAGCACTACTTGGCTGAAGCACAGTCTGTCCCTGGATTGTGGGCCAGCTAAGGTCTGGCAAATAAGCCTTATCCTCTCATCAGCATTGAGAACTGTGATGACAAAATACCCTAGTCTGGGTTTTTAAGTCCAGTACAGATTTTTGTGCGTCTGTCACTTGGCTTCAGTTCAGAACAAATCGGTTTTGTCTGAACTGCTTGCCCTGTGCTCCTTGTGACTTGAACTATGTATTTTTCTTTCAAAATCTGGGACAACCCAGTTTCCCGTAACACCAGAAGGAGGTGATTGTTTCTTAACTTTACCTTTTAGTGGATATTTCAAAGACCAGTAGAGAAATGGATTCTCTTCTTCTTGTGAGAACACCACACCAACTGCCTTTGACTTCAGCCCATTCATTCCTGTTAGGAATTGTTCTCATGAGTGACAGATTGCTTGATGAGGTCCATACAAAATGGGTTGTATTTAAAAGAAACCAAATTACTTTGATTTATATTAATGTTACTAGCATCTCCTTTTTCTGGTTAAATTTAATCATCAGACCAAAAGTCACCGTAGACCATAATTCTTGTCTAAGGAAGGATTTCAATCCATCTTGTTTGTTTACTGGAATCTTTTCATTAAGCTTGTCAGGATGTTGATGATTCATCAGCTGTTGGTTTGAGAAACTTGCTTCTTGGTGCCATACACAAATGCTTAGGAAATTCTGAAGATGCTGTTCAGGTAAGTTGTTAAATGATAATTTACACCATTAATCCTATTTTATGAGCTATTCTGTTAAACAGTAAATATTGTTGAGTAAGAGTGTTAAGCAAGCAATTAGTTGTCAGTGCTGTTGATCATACTGTTTTGTGAATTCCAACAGTATGTCAGGTTCTCTTCAAATCTTGTTTAGCATGTCTTTGCTATATTCTGTGTTGTAAAAGTAATTGGCTATGTTGAATGAACATGATAGCTAAAGTGGCTTGTAGGAGCAAGAGTTAAAGAGAAGCTGGGTAGAAGAATGGAGAAGTTCTTGGCTCTGCTGGATTTACTTTGTCCAACAGAGAAAATTCAGCTTTTTAAAAAAAATTACTTGGAGATTGACCTTTCAAAAAGCATGGGTTTGCTGCTTCTCCTCCAGGCCTGTTGGACACTGAGAGGTTTGATTATTAGCACATACCAAAGAATAATTTTGCCACTGCTCCAGGCTTTGCTCTGTAGGCACAACTTTTTTTTTCCTCCCCAAAACAGAATGCAATTCACATAAGCAACAAGGAAGCTGATGCTGTCAATAAAGCTTTTTTCTTTTTTTTTCTTTTTTTTTCTTTTTTCTGCTTCTCTCAAGCATATCTTAAATAATCTGGGTATTCATCTCTGATGTTAAAGTTCCTTGTTAGATCTAGTATTTTTTCAATATGAAGTTGGAAAACTGTTGAAACAGTCAATATGTTACTTGGTAAAAATCCAAACAAATGGTTTTGCCTTGATACAGTAGTGTCAGTGAAAACCTCTGGGTCCTCCCTTAAAGAATCTCTACCATTGGAAATTTTCAATGTATTCTCATTTTAGCTTTGGGCTAATTTCTAGTGCTTAAAGATGTACGGTGGTTCTGGATTTTTTTAAGTATCAAACAGTCAATTTTAATGTATTACTGCAATCTTTTTTTTTCCTTTTTCTTTAATTTTTATAGTTCTTTCAGCGAGCTGCTAAGGATGAACTGTGCCGTCAAAACAACTTATATGTTCAGCCATATGCTTGCTATGAACTTGGCTGTCTTCTATTAGACAATCCAGAGGTAATAGCGTAACCTGTTTTTAAACTCTTAATATTAGGGTGGGGAGTCAACATACCACTATACAAACAATGAAACAAAATTTATAGGTGATAATGTATGTTAAGTTTTAAAAATGTGTTTTATACCTACCGTAAAGAAACTTACTACTTTGTTTTTTTGCAAACCAAGAAATGCAATGTGTTTTAGGTCACAACATCTTAATTTTTCAATATCAAGAGCTAGTTATCTGTGGATAACACTGCAATGACTTGTTTTGTTGTTACTGGGTTTTATTTTTACATAAGAAATAAAGCTTGAGACTCTCTGGGATTCTTCAGGGCAGCTGTTACACTCCTGACCACTAGCGGTGTCTTTCTCTAGCAGTAAAATGAACATGTCTGCAAACCTACAGCAAGCAGTAAAGCAAGAATTTTGAGTGTAGCACTACATTGTTTTGGTTATTATTTAGTACTTTACCCCAAAAAGCACCACAAAGACTTCACTTTTCAGCTCTTTGATCATGCCATGATACCCATTTTTTCGTATGTGCCTTACAGAACCAGTATATATACATACTGGGGTAAAGACCTCTCTCCCCGTTCACTTGCCTTAGTGTTCCTGCAGCTGGTGGCAGCAGGGGCCTGGCAAGAATGCCTTGGGTAGGCAGGGATTTGTTGTCTGCAGGTGGCATTTAGTGTGGTGAGTGCCTAGGATCCTTTTCTTACGTATTTAATTTCCTGTTGGATGCTGTTCAAGTTCAAAGAAAGAGAGTTATACTCTCCAAATAGAATTTGGTGCCTTCTTAAAACAGCTCCATGTTTTTGGGATCAAACATATTTGGAACAATATGGTATTTGTCAAAAGTCTTTTTACTTTGGGATTATTTATCCCCACTCTCTTAGGACAGATATCTTCCTAATATCTTGAATTATTAAATGGTTCAAGACCATCTAAGGCACCTAAAGGTGCACAAGTCCATGGGACCCGATGAGATCCATCCGCGGGTCCTGAAGGAACCGGCGGATGAAGTTGCTAAGCCACTATCCATCGTATTTGAGAAGTCGCGGCAGTCCGGTGAAGTTCCCACTGGCTGGAAAAGGGGAAATATAACCCCCATTTTTAAAAAGGGGAAAAAAGGAAGACTCAGGGAACTACAGGCCAGTCAGTCTGACCTCTGTGCCTGGGAAGATCATGGAACAGATCCTCCTGGAAGCTATGCTAAGGCACATGGAGGACAGGGAGGTGATTCGAGACAGCCAGCGTGGCTTCACCAAGGGCAAATCCTGCCTGAC